CAGTTCCAGTGAACTTTTCACTGCGGACCTTAAGACCAGTACAAGTGAACTTTTCACTGCCGACCTTAAGACCAGTACAAGTGAACTTTTCACTGCCGACCCTAAGACCAGTACCAGTGAACGTGTCACTGCGGACCCTAAGACCAGTTCCAGTGAACTTTTCACTGCCGACCTTAAGACCAGTTCCAGTGAACTTGTCACTGCTGACCTTAAGACCAGTCCCAGTGAACGTGTCACTGCGGACCCTAAGACCAGTTCCAGTGAACTTTTCACTGCCGACCTTAAGACCAGTTCCAGTGAACTTGTCACTGCTGACCTTAAGACCAGTCCCAGTGAACTTTTCATTGTCGATCTTAAGACCAGTCCCAGTGAACTTGTCACTGCGGACCTTAAGACCAGTCCCAGTGAACTTTTCATTGCCGATCTTAAGACCAGTACAAGTGAACTTTTCAATGCCGACCCTAGAACCAGTACCAGTGAACTTTTCACTGCCGACCTTAAGACCAGTACCAGTGAACTTTTCACTGCAGATCTTAACAGTACCCTTAATCTCAGTGACTTTCCAGAAATCCCTTCTCATGACCATCCTTTAAAACAGCTCTCATCAAGTGTTTATTCATTTCTAACTCAGAACATTATATTCACCCATCTCTAATAAAAGTACTCAAACTACATTTAGTATTTAAACTACAACTAGTTTTAACCAAACACACATCTCATGTGCTATGCGACTAATAAAGCCAATACTGTATGAGCACTTCATTGTACATCAATCCAGGGCTGACCCTGATTATATTCCATCTATGGAATGATTTCCATATTCAAAGTGAAATGTGTCAACAATTGTACAATACAAATAAATATCTAAGGCTACTGTGATCTCTGACTTTATCTGGGGCAATGATTAAAAATAAATTGTTATCTGATATGATTGAGTTGATACACAGCTTCTTGACTGGATGATGTCCCATTCTTGGAATAGTAGCTTGTCTACCCACCTCACTCATTAAATGCAGACATCACTTGTCAGGGTGACAATGTGCATCAGGGTCGAACCGATGAAATAAAAGGGGGGAGTTTCATCATGAGTGCTGTCCGTGGTGTAAGGGGAATCAGGGTTGAACCAATGAACTAAAAGGGGGCGTTTTATCATGATTGCTAAAGATGCAAAGGAATCAGGGTTGAACCAATGAACTAAAAGGGGGAGTTTTATCATATGTTTGCTGTACGTGTAAGGGAATCAGGGTTGAACCAATGAGCTAAAAGGGGGAGTAGTATCATTGTTTGCTGTACGTGTAAGGGAATTAGGGTTGAACCAATAAACTAAAAGGGAGGAGTTTTATCGCATGTTTACGGTACATGCAAGGGATGTGTTTAGTTGGCACTGTCAGATGTAACCAGGTTCTGGGGCAATGTTAAAAAAGATGTCACTCTTAATGTGCCTTCTCTAAAGTAGACAAATTCGCAAACTGACACGTTTACTGCAGCTGTTGCGGCTATCATAGGGGATGCCGCTTTCTAAAAGACTGTGGGTCAAAGATTGAGAATGTGAAGTGCCATACTCTGTCACACGCTGGTCAATGTTTCCACTTTGCTTGCTCTTTTCAAAAAATCACAAACTGGAAAGCTTAAACCTGATCTGATTTTGTTCTCACATTTGAATGAAAAATGTAACATGTGTTTTGGCCAATATAGATTAATATTCAGTATATAAGAATTGAGAAATTTTACGATAAAAACAAGGTGACGTCAACACTGGCGTGTGGTGATACATGTATATGCGTGGTTACACTTTTCTGAAATGTAGTCACTAGGTTACTTTTTGTAATTTGCAATTGGGACTGCCCCCATGGAGATTTCCACACCACAGGATTTAATTGAGGGCAAGAATTCTTCAAATTAGGTCATCTTGTCTTTGTGCATGCTGCGATGTTGAAATTGTCAAAACATTTGGTTTTGAAATTTTTTGTTGCTGAAATATCGGAATAAAAGTTTGTGTGTTTTTAGGAATGAAAGAAACTTTCATTTCTGTTTGCCAACTACTTATGTTGTTTGAAGAACAAATTTGAAGAACTTGAGAACTTGGGTTGATACATGTATTGATAACCCCCAATGTGACTTCACACAAAATACTGTGAAATACTTTATTTTAGCTGGAATAAATTTTCGCTGAAAAGACTTTTTGAGTGTTTGTATGGAATTTATTTTCACTGATTTTTGGCAAGTTGAATGTAAAATATAGGAAAAAAAGTATATTCGCTGGATTTTATTTTCACTGAATCATTACTTCAGCGAAAATAGCGAAAATAAAGTATTTCACAGTAGTCCAGTTAAAAATCCTAACTTTTTGTCACCCCCACACAAATACCTAGTCCTGTTCAAAATCCAAACCATGTCACCCCACACATAGTCCGGTCAAAATTCCAAACCATGTCGCCTCCACACAAAACAGTCATGTCAAAATAAAAATAAAATAAAATAGTTTTATTCATGTCATTCAAAATAGAAGTTCATGTGGCCAGAAATAATATTAATACCTCCTATACATTTGTTCTCATGATCGCTTCGATATAATAATAAAAACTTGCGACAAGCTGGAGGACATCAGTCACTACCATCTTATTAATGGATTGTAATATTTGTTTTAATTGTAGTATGAATTCAAAGCAAAGGCAATCAAAAAGAAAAAAGTGAACATTGTGATATCAGTGGATGGCATCAAAGTTATTGTCAGAAAAAAGAAGAAGAAAGTAAGTCAAAATTCAAATACTGTAAAATACATTTTGTCTGTTTTGTATAAAGTTTATTTTCATCGATTTTTGAAGGTACCGGTAAAATAAATTATTTTCACTGATTCATTCTTTTAGCAAAAAAGACGAAATATACATTACGATATTTTATTGTCATTACATCTTTGCCAGCCAAGGTTCATTTATTCGGCCATCACCGCACCGCTATACCTTAGCAGAAATCCCCTATATACAGTATAAACAAAATCAAACACAACGGCATGTACTCTAATGCATTTCCTTGGTAAAAAAGAATAAAAATTCAAGTTTTGTAACACATTATCATTGCGAAGTCGCATGATCTTGCCGGTTATCTATCGCCATAGCATGTCATTGTTTACAAACGTGTGTCTACCCATGAGCCTTTGCATTTTTAGCGTGTATTGTTAATATCGATTGGGACTTGTTTCCCGCGTGCGCAGGTGATGACCCTTCTGCTTTAAGCTATGACATGATATAAGACAGCACAATCTATTGGTTTAAGTGGAGGGAATTGAATCCCAGGCGTATGGGTGGATGGTTGTTTGTAAACAACAGCATGCTATGGCCATTTGCCGCATGCGCAAGTGACGACTTCCTCACTTCAAAATTTGGAAATTGATGCGAATTGTTACAAGAACACTGATTTAATAGAACTAGCTTCTTGGCACACCAAACAAAATCACAAATACAGCTTTTTCTGACACTATTACTCATGGGTTCGAAGAAACAATAATGGATGGCCGGCTTCAGTGCAAAAATCAGACAATGTCATAATTATTCCTAATTTATATTCATATTGTTGAATGAAACATACCAGGATGTGTGACCTTTTCAAACTAAGATAGGTACCAGGATGTGTGACCTTTACAAACTAAGATAGGTACCAGGATGTGTGACCTTTACAAACTAAGATAGGTACCAGGATGTGTGACCTTTACAAACTAAGATAGGTACCAGGATGTGTGACCTTTACAAACTAAGATAGGCACCAGGATGTGTGACCTTTACAAACTAAAATAGGTACCAGGATGTGTGACCTTTATAAAATTCTGCGCTACTAGGAAAATTTATTTTAATATCTTTTAACTTATGAGAAATGAGAAGCATGTATATAGGTCATGATTATAACGCATGTCAGCAAGTCACTGACACAGATGCGTTAATCGGGGATTTGAGTAGATTGTGTATCTTTATGGCGTGACATAATAAATGTGTCAGTGGTCATGGACATCGGTGAATTTAGTTCCAGACTCAGAGCCATTTATCAAATTATGAACATAAATTGAGATTACAGCCGCTTTCACAAGATAAACTGTCTATTCCTCTACGATTTAACATACTGTCTGCTGACACAGTTTTATTCTCATTCATTATGGGTATCCATTAGGGGCTTTTTAGCATGTAATATGTTAATACAACCTGTGATCAAATAAAAGCTCACATTTTTAAATTGTAATCTTTATATTTTTTACAGAAGAAACAATGGACTTGGGATGAGAACAAACTGATGGTTATGCACCATCCAATATATAGGTAATACTCTCATTTTTTTATTGTGATTTAATACATTGTGACATTTTTTAGAATGAAATTTTGCCACTGTGACTCATTGTTTGAAGGATTCTGATTGAAACAGGTACCGCTACAAAATTACGTGATTTCACCAATCAACAAAATTTACAACTATTTGTCCCTTAAGATGTTATAGAAATTGACGCTGCATTGTCAGATTTTGTTGTTTTATCTCTTGCTCTGTTGGAGAGTCATCTAAAACACCTTGTTTCAGTTGACCCACAATCAAATTTCATTGCCGACAAAAGTTTTAAGTAATAAAAAAAATTTCTGAGATGAAATGTGGTGTTGCCTTCAGTGTTGACATGGTAATGTAAATATATGTATTTTGATTTACTGAAGTCTAGATTTTTCTCTGATACAAATGTGTCAAGTCAGGAGTTAAGATGCATGGACAACTTACGTTGCTGTTGGTAAAACAGATGCAAAATCAAAATAACCACTAGATGGCGCTATACATTTTCAAGTATTCCAATTTCACCACCAGAGGGCAGTATCATATGTCCTATTACTATGAATATTAATTTTTGTTTTCTCTTTTCAGGGTTTTTTACGTGTCCCATGATTCTCAAGACCTGAAAATATTCAGTTTCATAGCGAGAGATGGTGCCACCAATGTATTTAAGTGCAATGTATTTAAATCTCACAAAAAAGTAAGTTTAATTTCTTTTATTTAATGTTTGATATGAGAAGAATTTAGTGAATTAATGCTTCTGTGTACAATTATTCACTGGAATAAAAGCCATTTTAAGTTAAATACATGACTAATTTGCATAATAATGTTGAATCCACATGTTTAAACTGAACTATTAATTACCATTAAATAAGTGTGCCATTTCTCTGATGCATGTGGTAAACGCTGACGCTAACAGGATTGTGTTTGCAATTTTACGCATCATGTTACAACGAGAGCAAAAATGAGCTGACAAAAAATTCTGTGCATCTTTATCCACAAATGACTCTTTCTTGTTTTAAAAAGAATGTTAGGTTGTTGTTGTTTTATTTCCCATATTATACAAAGTGAAATACTTAAAGTAGAAAGTAAGTAAATAAATGAACAAATGAATAAACAAACAAATAAATAAATGAACATAAGTCTAAGTAAATATGTACAATATGGCTGGGAAGCAGAAATAGCTATAGCAAAGCTAGTTGAGCCTGCTTGTGAGTAAGTAATCTTAAATGAATGAAATGTAAGGGCGACAAACGGGTCATATTGTTCTAATAAGGATTGTCCAAGGTAGAAAAAAATATATATAAATAAATAAATGATAACATAAATATTATATACACAAATAAATAGTAACTAAATAAGTAATTTTATAATAAAGCATCTTTCGATACTTAGAGAAATATTATCACATACTCCTAATAATGCTGTGTTCATTTCATTATAGAGTCAAGCAATGAGAATAGTACGTACCATTGGACAGGCTTTTGAGGTGTGTCATAAATTGAGTCTTCTTCATGCTGCTGCGGCCGCTGATGGTGCAGACGGTGAGAGCGACAAAGCCGACGAGAAGCTATCACCAAAGAAAGGAAGTACGTTTAATTTATACGCTATCTTAATCGGTTGTTTTATTAAATTACAACGACTGTGAAAGGGGATTTAAGTGCCATATTTGTCAAACTGTTGTTAGATTTTTGTGTGAATTAATAATACATTTTACACATATTGTATATTTGCTTTCTCTCTGTGGTTTGAATGTAATTTCAAATTAGTGAAGCTAAATTATGGTTTCTAGAGAAAATATATTCCAGCTAAAAACAGTAATCAACAGTATTGGTGAACGTCACAAATTTAGGAAGCTTGACTTTCAAATTTAGATTTTACAATTCATGCTGTGTAAAAAACAAATTTTATTTTTATCCTATCGTAACCTCATCCTAAAGTTGGTAAAACTCGACCAATGTGCTTATGCTCGGGTGAGTACTCAAAGTATACAGATTGGTTGATGTAGGATATGCAATTTAGTTTTCAGCCAATCACAGATGTTTATTGTGTAGATTAAAAATAAACTTATTGTCGATGAAGAAATGCTGTTAACAGTTAAATTTTTGCTGCTAGGAATTATCACGATGGAAATGATAATTGTGTTTGTGGGAGGAAACAACATTTCAAAAGTTGCTGTGACCCACTGTTTTTAAGGCTGCAGTGACTTTTCAGTTCTATGATTTTGAAAATTTTACTGTCTAATGATATACTAGTATGCAAAAATTTAAATGGGTTACAGTATTCTCTGGGTTTAATTTATTGGAGTTGAGATGTAACAAACAATTCATGCATTTTATAACACTTCTTTAAAGTGTCTTTTTTCATCTTTTGCCTGTTTCCCGTCTATATAAATATGCATGACAAAATGGTGTTTGGTTAACAGTTTGGGGTTGTTGTAGGTATGGAAATGCGTAATTTAAGCTTGTTTAACCCTAATTCATGAATGCCAAGAAATAAATGTAGGCGATAGATATGAGGACACTAGTGGTAGTAATTCCTTTACTGAAATCATATATT